AAACACATCCAATCACACCATACAGTAACCTCAACACACTAATCAACAAACATCCAACATCATACCATACCACACAATATCACACATACATACACAACACACATACAACCACACAGCACAAAAATCAAATACACACTACATACTACACAAACACAACACTACATACTCTCACAGCAAACAACGCCGGGAGCATGGGTGTATAATGCATATGGAACATAAGTTTCCACTTTTGGACATAATAATTTGAATAATAGGATGATGGGGTAGATTTAGTTGAGGAATATTTAATTTATTGGGTGAGATGTTATGGTCTTAGTTTTTTTCATTTCTACGATGAATTCGAAATGTCATTGAATGTGCGTGACATTAACACTACTACCATGAATTACTATAGCTATATAATAATACACATTAATGTAACATTAAATATGATAACGCAACACACATCAACTAACTACCACACAAAACACACACACACACACACAACATCACACACAAACAAAAAACATCTAAATCAACACTAGCACACACACTCAAAACGCTAGCTGCTATGCATACAACTAACCATACACACTTTGATTTGTCGCTCAACTACAATCACACGACACACTCACACACCACACAACATAATATTTTTCACTATACAAATTACTTTTATACCCATCCAAACAAAAAAATTCTATTTAATAACACACACACACACACACACACCTATTAATATATATTACACAAACACAACATAATACAGATACTAACACATATCACATATAGATAGCACACACAAACAAATCACACACACACGAACCACTACACACCACTCAAAACAACATAAATCACACCCATTAATATTTTTCATTACACAAATATTATACACATATAGCATCAACACACACACACAATACACACCCATACAATCACATCACAATCATTCTCTAAACACTAATACAATATAATTTTAACACAAAACACATACAACGATACACACCATAACACACAATATATGAATGCGTATATATTATATATTTATACTTATATATCTTCATATATAACAATTATCCGTTAACGGATGTAGTATAATAATATCAATTAGAATATAAATATTATGTCATTCCTAATATATAATAAATAAATAATAATAATATATATTATATATAAATATACTATATATAAATACATAATAACTTTAACAATGCCTAATATAAACATACCGAAACAATATTAACTAACTATACATTAACTTATAAGATTATTGTAATTGTACATGTGATTATATACTAATAACATTTAAATATATATTATACTACTTAATATACCCTATTAAATATATGCTATTATATACTAATATATATATATATATATATAATGAATGTGCTTTACAGAGAAAGATTTTAAATCCTACCAAATAATCTGAAGCTTCAGATATAACTATCCATACAAGTTATATTTGAAATTGATCTTGAATATGTAAATATAAGTTTGTTTTTTGGTTTTTTCCCCTCTCTCTTTTTTCCTCTTCTTTCCTTTTCTTCCCTTTCCTATACTCTTTCTTTTAATGTTAATTTAGTTTATTTGTTTTGAATTCCTGAACATTTTGTCTTCATCTCAGGTCACGGTCACGCCGCAAGTCCCGCAGCAAGTCCAGGTCACGCAGAGACCGCTCAAGAGACAGACGCAGGTCTCGCTCCCATGATCGATCCAAGAGGAGATCCAGGTCTTCGTCAAGGTCAAAGTAAGTACGATTCATATTCTTTGTTTTCTTGTCTTTTCTCAAAGTATTCCTGTGTTCTTTCCTTCATTCTTTCTTTCTTTCCTTTAGTATTATCATAATTGTTTATTCCGGTTGTTATCTATTTTGTACGGCATTAAGGACAGGTCTTCTGTCAGCCGTTGGTAATGTACCTTTGTATTCTCACCTTTTGGGAATACAGCTTTTCCTTGTAGTTAACCTACTGTAGAAGAGAGCTGGCTTTAAGTTGAATATTCAGTTTCTTTATTTTACCATTATCATTATTGTTATAGTCATTCTTAATTTCTTGTTAATTATCATTTTTAATTCTTTTGGAGCGCACTACCATGGGTGTCACAATAATATGTGATGGATGGGTCAACATTATGCATTTGTTAGTTGTCTTGAGTTTGCACGAACCTCTATTGGATCCCATCTCTTAAATTTTCCCTCCATCCCTGCTTCTGAATTTCATTGTCCTTCCCTATTTCCTGTCTCCTCTCTTTTCCTCTGCCATTGGATCCAGTGTATGTATATTTTTCCTTCCTTTTTCTTTTCTTTTGTGTAGAATTTTTCTTCTTCTTCTTCATTCATGTGCATTTTGATGTCCACACAAGTGACCCATTAAATAGATCTGAGATGAGTTTCTCTTGTTCCCCCCAGGACGGGGAAAGTGAAAGACAAGGATTCAAGCAAAAAGTAAGTTTTCTGTCATTTTCAGTTGATTCATTAAAACAGATTTTGGTTCAAGCTAATGCTGAAAAAATAAATGAGAATAAAAGAAATATATCCCTCTTTTTTTTCTTTCTTTCTTCCCCGTCTCTGTAGGAAGGACTCACGCCAGAAGCCGCACCGCGACCGCAAGGAGAGCAAGGACAAGGACAGGATGAAAGAGAAGGAGAAGAAGGATAAAAAGAAGGACAAGAAAGAGAAGGATGAGAAGAAGAAAGATTCAAAGGTAAAGAGATTTTATGAGGACTTGGTACTTCATAGGGGTTGAAATCTTGAGTATGCTGGTTGTATTTCCTCTCATATACAGCGATATGAAAGATTGATAAGAAATTATAAATTATAGATTATTAAGTGATGAATGATTTTGGATTTTAAGATGATAGAATTTAGAAAAAAAACAAGCCGGTACATCTAGGATAGATTATACTATGGCTAAAATTTCCTAAGCAACAGCCTTTTAACACTGGACTGACTGACCATTCAATTTTAGGTATCTCGCGATTATGACGAAGAGGAGCAACTGGGCTTCGAAGGAGAGGAAGAGAAGGGGAAGAAGAAGGAGAAGGAGGAGGAGGACACCAAGGACAAAGGAGAAGCAGTTGACATGGATATTTCGAACTCCCCCTGAATGGAAAGGAAAAGGATTAGTGGCTCAGATATGCACACCGATTGAGACGGGATGTCGAGAGGAATAGACAGGGGAGTAGGAGAGTAGGGGTAGGTTGGTTGATTTTGACTGGGACATCTATAACTCCCTTTGAGCGGAAAGTAGAAGCAAATGGAGTAGTAGCACAGATATACACGCTGATCAAATTGGGATGTTGGGAGGAGTTGATGGCAGGGGAGTAGAAGAAGGGTAGGATGGATGATTTAACAAATCTGTAACTCCCCTTAAACAGCCTCAGATTAGCACACTGACTGAAGAGGGATGTCACAAGGAGTTATTGGCGGGGGAGTAGGGGGTAGGGAGTGTAAGCTGTGCAAATATTGTTTGTATTTCTTCTTTACCCGTGAGGTTCCTATTCTAAAGAAGATTATTATAAGTGTAGCCTATTCTTAGGTATTGGATAATTCTGAATTTCTTTGCTCGAAGGTACAGAATATGATTAAAAAAAAACTCGTATAATTTTCTCATTTAGAGCTGATTGCAATATTTCTTAATTATAAAAGAAAAAAAAAAAAATGTTGACTCATTTAATCTTTAATTTCTGTCGCCCTTTTTTTCTTTTTTTCTGCCGTATCTTTCTTTTCTTTTCTTTTTTCTGAATAGGAATACAATTACAAGTCAGTGTTTGTAATTCAGTGATACACTCAACTGGGATATCTGGTTGCAGTTCTTTTTATTTTATTTTTCTGACTTCACTGTTTAAATTTTAAAATAAAATGTATAGAAATTAATCGAAGAATAAACATGAAGTGTTTTCAATATTATTTTACATCCCCAATCGTCTGAAAATTTCCATAATTCTAGATTAATCGGAAAATTGTACAATGTACCAGTTACCACAGGGAATAATTGAGGCTGCACGTAGCTCTGTGTACTAGTTAGTAGTAATGCTGAGAAGCCATTTGCCTACCTTGATTTGAGAGATTTTGCCTCCTCAGAGAATATATATATATATATATATATATATATATATATATATATATATATATATATATATATATATATATATATATATAATAATATAATATATATATATACATATAACACACACACACACACACACACACACACACACACACACACACACACACACACACACACACACACACACACATACTATATATATATATATATATATATATATATATATATATATATATATATATAATATATATATATATATATATATATATATAAAGTAAGTCATATATTTCTATAGTATATATAGTACATATACAATCCTCCACCTGACAGCTAATTGGAGAGTGACCTCAAAAGAGGATCCTCTTGGCTTCTTGAGTTTTTGTAGTTTTCTTTCTTTTTCTCATATGACAAAATAAAGTGTGTTGAGTGTCGTATTCTCTATCATGTGCATTTTTTATTAACTGCAATAAAAAAATCCATACTAGTTGCTTACTCTCAGAAGGCAGGAAAGCATTTCTCAACATTGAAAAGAACATAAAACTTCAGCTCCCTTTACCAGGCACTTTGACTTTTCAGGAATAATCTCAACTTCCGTTCTTTAAGTATTACCTTTCTGTTTACTCTAGGTCCCAAGTATGACGAAAATTTATCATCAAAGACAGCTAATAATTTAAAGTGCCAATATGCAAACATTAAATGAAGTTTCACACTATTGGAACTAGAACATGTATGATCAGCCATACAGCTTGTTGCAGGCATAGGTAATTGTAAAATCTTGATTTAATAAAGTAACTTTTATTCTTATTATGTATTTAAATTTATAGTCTGTCCAGACTTGAAATAAAAAGAACATTCATATAGATATCTCGCTAAAAAACAAAATGCATTAGACATTAAGTATCACATCTTCATGAGGTCACAACAGTTTCTTTTTACAACATTGTAATCCAATTAAAATAGTATTTTAACTTTTTAAGAAAAAAATAATGATTTGTACTTTGACATTTTGTACAAGTGTTTATGAATTTTAAAACTATACTATATTCAGTATTAAATCATTAGAAGTGCTAAATGCTGAATAATGTTAATAAAGGGGTGTGATGGTAATATAGCTCGTTCTGTGAAAATGCATGAAGAGATAACATTTTGTTTTGAATAGATATATGAAAAGATTAAATTTCTGTAATAAGTTATATCTTCAGCAAGAATGATAGACAAGTTTGCTTTAAAAAACTATTTACAGAATCACAGTTATATTCCTAATTTACAAAGATACAATAGATGGCAATGGGAACATAGACTTATGTTAGTAATTTATACATCTGTTATAATATGACTATCAATATGCTATATCAATTTTAACCTAACACAAATGGACCTTGAAACACAAATGATTTCATTAAGGCACTCTAAATTACCTCTTACAGTATGTTCATATATTTCCTTCTCTTTTTGTTTAAAGGATTTAGATAAAAATCAGTAGGAAAGAACAAATACATTCTTTCTTCTCCCAAGTTTTACTTTTCTTTTGAACTGGTATCTATTGAGCATATAAGTGATTTTCACACAGATAGTCGTGTGTGGGGAGCGATGCAAGGCCAGCAAGCACTGCAGGTAGGAACAGGGACACAGGAAAGACACCAAGACAAAACTCTTGTTCTTTCTCAGTTGTCTGAAAACAAAAATAATGGAAATAAGGACAAAAGTACTAATAATTAATATAATAATAGTACTAATGATAGTCTTCGGTGTCTTCATTATAGTGTTATTCCCACACAAAAGGAGAATACACTTATACAATCCATAGTTAACATAAACTTTTAACCAAGCAGATCCATCATATTATAACATATTCTAATCAAAACTAGTGTATCAATAGACATACTTGAAAAAGAACGGTATCTATATTTAAGGATTCTAAAAAAAAAAGCACTACCTTGTTTTGGATCCTGAAGACAGTAGTCCTGAAGGCAGCACCCTCTAGAAGTCCTTGAAGGAATAACAGTGAGAAGATGATGTACTCAGAGGGGAGGTAATGGTAGGATGCTTCAGTACCCACTATGACGAGTATCACCAGCTGGTCGAAAGAGGAGAATGAAAGCCATTAGTTTTGGCAAGGAGAAAAATAGGGTCTTTATATGCCTTATGGGCAGTTATAATAATAGTATTGGTTTGGTATTTGATCAGTGTTCTTATTGCTTGTTGTACAGTATTGTTTTCTTAATTCTTGATATCACGGTCATTATTTATTATTTTGTATTGCAGGTATTACTGTAATATATCAATTATCACCACTCATTAAAGTATGCTAATATTCATCAATATTAATGTACATGATGGACAAAAGAAATAGCTTTGCACTAAGTATATCCACTCGACTTCTTTCTTAATTACAAAAAATCGAGTCATAAACAAAATACAGTTCAATATAGACAGTACTCACAGCCAGCCCGTTATATATCCATGCGTTGGGTATGAGGAAGAACTTGTGAGCGCTTCTGGAGATGAGAGTGCCCAGACAACGTGTCGTGTTGCTCCAGCTGTACTGCTGCGCGTGTGTCAGGATAGACCCGGGGAAGAACACCATTTCCAGCTGTGGGAATTGTAAGAGGTTCATAGATATACATATGTAGTCTGTATGTATGTGCAGGATGTATATATGTAGGGGCGTCCATTGGGGACCGTTATCCCTCTGAGTCTCCGTTTGCCCCCACAAGGTCTGGCTTCCCACCCCTCAAGGGCCAATAGGACAATTTTTTTTTTGTAATTAGTTACTGATATATATATATATATATATATATATATATATATATATATATATATTATATAATTATATATTATATATACTATATAATATATATATTTATATGTATATGCGTGTGTGTGCGTGTGCGTGTATATATTTGTATGTATGGGTGTTTTTAGGTGACGAAAACCCTTAATAATAATGAATATCTTAACAACAGACCTTTTGAATACAGACTGTTGAGATATTAAAAAATGGCCATTAAGAATGACAAAGGAAGTGAAAGAAGATTTTAAGATATATATAAAAAAATAATAACGAAAAAACTAAAACAAAAGGTACTGAGGACATCGAAGTAGTGAAAGGAACTTACCAGGCCCTGGTTGGTCAGGTACATCATCATGTAAAAAACGATAACGGGAAGATGTATTTTGCGCTCTCTGGTAAATAGAAATAATAATAGTAAAAATGTAATGATAATGATAATAATAATAATAATAATATAATATAATATAATAATTAATAAATAATAATAATATAATAATATAATAATAATGATAATAATAAAAATAATATAATGATAAATAATAATAATAATAATAATAATAATAATAATAATAAATAATAAATAATAATATAAATAATGGAATAATAATAATGAATGATGATGATGATGATATGATGATGATGAGATGATGATGATGATGAATGATGATGATGATGATGATGATGATGATGAGATTAGAATGATTGATAATATGATGAGATGATGAGAATGATTGATGATGATAGATGATGAGATATGATATAATAAATAATAATAATAATAGAAGATAAGAATAATAAATAATATAATAATAATAATAATATAATAATAATAATAAAATAATATAATAAGATAATGATATAATAATAATGAATACTATTAAAAGGATTAGAGGTAAAATTTCCAACGTATCTCATATTATAATATAATACTAGCTATTCTTTTCTCTCCTTCTTCTTTCCTCTCCTCTCCTTTCTTCTCACTCCACACTCCTCTCCTCTCCTCTCTCCTTTTCTCCCTACCATCTCTTCTTCTACCTCTCTTGCTCTTTCCTTTCTTCTCCGCTCTCCTAAACTCTCTATCCTCTCCTCTACTTCCTCTCTCCATATTTAACCCTTTCTCGTCCAATCCCTCTACTCTCCTCTCCTTCCCCCCTTGTTCTCTTCTCCCTTCGCAACACTTTCCTCTCCTTTCCCTCCTCTTCCTCATTTCCTTCCTCCTTTCGTCCTTCTTTTCTTTCATTTATCCTCTTGCATTTTCCCTTTTTTTCTCTACTTTATTTTCCTCTTCTCCCTTTTGTCTTACTTTCCCATCTTTCCTATTATTTTCCTCCTCCTTCCTCCTCCATTCTCTTATCCTTTTCCCCTTCCTCTCCTGTCCATTTCATGTCATCTACTCTCGTATTTCTCCCCTCCCCTTTCTCTTTCCCTTCCTTCCTTCCTTCTCTTCTCTTCTCTTCCTTCCTCCACCCTTCCTTTCACTCTCTTTCTTCCTCCCCTTCCCCTTCCCTTCCCTTCCTTTCCTCCCCCTTCCCTCCCCTCCTTCCTTCTCCCTTCCTCCCCTTCCTCCCCATTCATCCCCCGTTTTCTCTTCTCCCTCCTTTAATTACCCCTACTCTCTACCTCTCCCCCCCTCCTCTCCTTCCTTCTCTCTCTCCCTCTCTCTCTCTTCCTCTCTCTCTTCTCTCTCTCTCATCTCTCTCTCTTCCCTCTCTCTCTCCCTCTCTCTCCCTCTCTCTTCCCTCCCTCTCTCTCCCTCTCTCCTCTCGTCTCCTCCCTCTCTCTACTCCCCTCCTCCTTCCTCCTCTCCCCTCTCCCACCTCTCCCTCCTCCTCCTCTCTCCCTCTCCCTCTCTCTCTCTCCCTCCCCCTTCTCTCTCCTCCCTCTTCTCTCCTCCTTCTCTCCTCTCCCCTCTTTCCACCCTCTCTCTCCCTCTCCCTCTCCTCCCCCTCTCTCTCCCCTCCTCTCTCTCCCCTCCCTCTCTCTCCTTCCTTCTCCTCCTCCTCCTTTTGCTCACCATGAAAAGATCGAGTTTTTCTTGGATTTAGCTGCATGCTTTTCTTCTTCGGCAAATCTGTTTCGACCTCGAGCACCATTTCCACGTCCGATCTCCCGCTGAGGTCTTCGTGGTTACTCAGAATGCAACAGAAACTGCAAAGAATTGATAACGCCTTCATCAGTATTTTTTTTTTATCTGTTAAATATTCTGTGTAGATTATGTATATATATTTCTTCTTCTTGAAATTAACTAACCATTTCATTTAAAAATAATAATAATAAAATAAAAAAATAAAACGACCATATATCATTCTAAAATAAAAAAAACACACACACACACCATTCAAAACAATAACAAACACACACACACACAAACATACAATTCAAAACAATAAAAACAAACACCATCTAAACACACAAACAAACACACTACACACCATCCAAAACAATAAAAAACACAAAACTACCATCAAAAACAAAAAAAAACACACAAACCACACACCATTCAGAATAAAACCACACCCATACATAACGACCGAACTATATCCCTAACCTGAGAACGATCACCGCGGGCACCATCAGAAACGAGAGCAAGGCGTTCTTCGGCTTGACCCCGGCGGTGGTGAGGGACGCGTACAGGAGAGGACCCATAAAGGTGGCAATTCCTGTGCCCGAAGACCAGAGAGAGAGGACGTGTCTGGGGAAGAAAGAGAGGAGGTAAGGGGGGGCGGAGGAGAAGGGAGAGGAGCAGAGGAAGGTAGAGGAAGAGACGGGAGGGAAGAAAAGGGGAGAAGAGAGGAGGGGAGTGAAAGTGAGAAGTAAGGCGTTTTTTTTTTTTTTTTTTTTTGGTGTTGATGTTTTCTTTTGGTATGATTGTTGCTGATGTTGCTGATATTGTTGTTGTTGTTGTTGTTATTGCTGTTGTTTCTTTTTATCATTATTATTATTGCTATCATTATCATCATCGTTATGGCTGTTACTATTATTATTTTTACTGTTATCATTAGTATTATTGCTGTTGTTGTTATTATTATTATTATTATTATTATTATTATTATTATTATTATTATTATTATTATTATTATTACTATTATTATTATTATTATTATTATTATTATTATTATTCCTATTCCCATTCCTATTCCTATTACTAATTCCATTATCATTATTATTATCACTATTATTAATATTATCATTATTATTATATTATTATTATTATTATTATTATTATTATTATTATTATTATTATTATTACCACCATCATTATTATTATTGTCATTGTTATATTTCTGCTTCGTTCATAAACCAGCGGACTCAAACATTAGTCTATCACTCAACTAATTCATTTCATTAGATAAATCATGTAATATATGGAAATCAATACGTCATTAAACGTAATTTTACGTCTGCTTCGATTTTTCTCCATCAACTATAACGATCAGACATGTATTCAAGTACCTAGTTAACCTAAACAGACGTAATTCAAAGATAAACATAATTCTACAAATAAATAAAATAAATAAATAAACTAAGTAAGTAAGTAAGTAAGTAAGTAAGTAAGTAAGTAAGTAAGTAAGTAAGTAAGTAAGTAAGTAAGTAAGTAAGTAAGTAAGTAAGTAAGTAAGTAAGTAAGTAAGTAAGTAAGTAAGTAAGTAAATAAATAAATAAATAATAAATAAAATAAAATAAAATAAAATAAAATAAAAAGAATTACGAAATAGTGGCGCACGGGTGACATCGGATACTAATAGGGTTAAGCATCGGTTAGTTTCAAAACACGAGGTTGTGCGGTTCACCAGGATTATTTTTATATCTCTATGGGCGACATTATTAAGTAATAAATTGGTTCTCTTTCTTATTTATTTACTCGGGAACTGTGTTACTTGAGGTATGCAGACTTGAAAGATGTTTCTAAAGGTCACTCAAGCACTTTTTCCGTTATTTTTTGCGCTTCCGTCTGAATTTGAATCTTTCCGCAAGTATTGCATGCAAATAACGCCTCTCGGACTAAAGGCGATTGGGACCGTTTTCGTCTGAATAGTTTCTATCTTAATCCTAAGCTACGGGGGATCTATACAACAATATATATTTTTTTAATGCTGATTAGAAAGAATAATTTAATGTAAACATAAGTTAATATTTAAGAAAATTTCTATACACAGCATACATAATCACGTTTCTTTAAAATAACGTGATATGTATGAGAATGCTCGTGTTCTTAGGTAGTAGTGTGATAGGGTTAGACCATTTCCACACAAAAAAAATTCATACGGAAACGCAATAAATAACGGAAATAGTGCTAGTGCGATAAGGCCTGTATACCTTGCTAATAACCACAGCAACGACGGTATACAGTGACACGCAAGACCACGTGATAGCAAAATGTAACACAGATAACCCAGATTTCACACACCTTTTGATACAGTGCATCTGGGTCTACCTTTATTGATTTTATTTGTTTACGTCGTTATTATTTTTCTACTGCTTGTGGTGAAATAAATTACTAAAACAAAGATAGATGACTGACAATTATGAGTAAAGATTGGAGAATAGATACTGGTTGCAGACGGTACAGGTGACTCGGGTAAAGGACCAGCACCTCATTCGTTTTTTTCCATTATATTTTAAAGATGACCATTTTGTTGAAGACCATTAATACAAATAACGTCTAAATAACCACTACAGATTAGAAACTTAACAAGACTGGCATCAGCTTAAATAACAATAACAACAGAAACTTACTCGTGATACCGAGAAGCGTGTCCGAGGAATGTCGTATCGGAGAAACCCCTCGAAGCCGAAGCCAGTGCCACGCCCAGGAACACGAACTTCGGAGGTGCCAGGCCTAGCGTAAGGTAAGAAGCAACACACAGGCTGCAAATGAGTGCCACTCGCACGTTGACAGCGACCAGTAGCACCACAGGGGCTGCCAGGGTGAGGGCTGTGGCCGGCAGGGTGTCGGCGATGAGAATGGCCTGCGAGGTGTCCGAACGAGGCGGTTTGAGGTGGTAATGCTGGTCATGGTAATGCTTTATGGGAATTTATGGGGAAGCTAGATCAGTAGCAAACTAGAGGAGGAGTCATGGCATCTGATTCTTTTTTTGTTGTTGTTGGGGGGGGGGGGAGAACATGGGGTTTATTTTGATGACGTCACAACAATTACGGAGGCTTTGTGAATAGGGTCGATCCTTTTGGTCACTTCAGTTTTCAAAAAGGATGGAAAATAATGATTTTAACGGTTATATTCTCAATAAACAATCATCAAAACACGCCACGAAACCTCCAGTTGCTACTGATCTAGCCTTTCCCAATGCTTTATATCGAAGGAATTAGCGGATACTGTCTCTTGTCTAGGACTTAGTGATGGTTATGCTGCTCATGATAATTTTTTATTTGAGGAGTTTGGCGGATATTGCATAAATAGTCTGGTGTCAAAATGTAGGGATCCACGAGCCTAAAATAATTACAAGAAATACATCTGCAAAATCCGAGATACATCGACAATAAAAACAAATACAAATTATTGTTAAAAAGCTTATTGCACAGTTCGAAAGAAGCAGAAATAAAGAAGCAAGTAAAAAAATAAATAAATAAATAAAACATTTACACAACAAATATGACAGAACCTCACCCCCGTGGAATGTCTCTGACACTTGAAGGTG